CGTACACGTCGCCGGAATAGCGGAGGTGTTCTACGTGATTAAAGGGAGAGAGAAGAGAGAGAGAGAGGGAGAAAGATAGATAGATAGAGAGAGAGAGAGAGTGAGAGTGAGAGGCACACCGCCACCGGTGGTTCCGAGTTGTCCGCGCGGCCGTCACGAGGAAGAGAAGCTGCTGCCGCTGCCGCCGTGACGCATGCGACGTGCCGTCTATCGGCGAGGCCTCCGTGGCTGAGAGAGGAAAACATCTGCGCGACCGGTGAGGGGCTTTTCACTCGCGCGCCTCGTCGCTCTGACGTTGCCACCGGACACACGGAGGGAGAGCGCGTGGTGGTCCTCGCTCTGCCGCGCTCCGCTGTGGACCGCCTCGCGACCGGGTAAAAAAAGCTCGCGCGTGCCGAGGAACGTTGTTACGGGCCGCTGATCCGCTGATTCACCGGGCCATCGTGCTCGCGTCGTCCGGGCTGTCGCGGACGATGCTCGGGAGCCGTGCGAGTACAATTACCGCGGGGATCGCGACGGTGCCGTTCGACGGACGCTGAGACACGAGTCCCTGGGAACTGTTGCCGTTCGACGACATCGATTCGGTTCAGTGTCTGTTGGTTGGAAACTCGGGAGAGACCTCGAACCGCTGGTTACGCTTTCGGAGCTCGCTCTCTCTCCCTCCGTTCCGCGACGATGTCGGAGACGAACGTCGGGGGAAACGCGCGTTAGCCGGAGCACGAGGATCCTGGACCAGTCGACAACGCCGAGACCGCGTCGATTCCACGGGCAACGGGGAGAAGCATGTTCCGCGACGCGTGCGAGAGCCGTGCGTTCGCCGTCTGAAGGGATACGGAAGGTTCTGCGACCCAGCGTGCTCGAGGATGTAGCGCAGCGATCGTCCCGATGATTCTCGAGGGCAACGAGGCAGCAGACGCGGATCGCGGTTCTTAGTCACGGAGCGGAGTGGTCGAACAGGTGGAAGATCTCTGCGAGAGAGGTCCACGGATACCCTAGCGAAACGGACAGCGGGAGGGACGACGGTCGAGCGAGCACCGTGAGTGCCGTATCGATGATGTTGGAGGGCAGGCTGCCAGGAGGCGATCGGTTGCCGCGGTGTTCGCGTTCCTGCGCCGGTTGCTCGGGTGTACGCCGCCGCTCGTAATAGTCGCGGAGAATCTAGTGCTGCTGCTGAACGCCGGAGGAATGGTGTGCTACGATGACGGACTTGGTGGTCGTGCACGGTCGTAGGGTCGCGGTCCCTTTGCCGGCGTGGTGGCCGCGGACGTCGACGCGTTGCTGGTGGGAACGTCGCCGTTCGACGATCAGCTAATAGAGACCCGGGTCGGATGGCGAGCGGGCCCGCGTTCGCTCGGCCTCGCTAAAGACGCTGTTCAGGACTATTCGGCTCGCAGTGGTCTCTCCCAGGAGACGAAAGCTCGCGGATCAAGGCGTCGCTGGCCAGCGACAGCTGCCCCGGGCAAGCGGAAGACAGAGCTACAGAGGATTCGAGGGTCGAGCCTGATCAGGTCGCTCCGAGCGGGGGATGAACGGAGCGCCCTATGGGATAACGGCACAAAGATACTCGGACAGGTGTAAACGTTACCGAATTCTGGGGATCTAAGCGTCCTAGCGCGAGGATACTCTTGCTCCCCGGGGACAAGGTCCTTCGGCTCGCCCGAGCTGACGCATAGCCGCGCGTATAGCGTACACAGAACGGAAAGAGAAGTCTTCTCGAGGTATCCGGTGTGTCAAAGGGAGCCTGTCTCGCCGGGTAACACGGGTGCAAGGAGAGAGCCCGGTGCTGTCGAGGCGGTGGGAAAGGTGGTGGAAGATTCGGCGATCGCAGCGGAGTTATACCACCGTCGAGCATGGCCTCGGTGGCAGCGTGGCTGCCGTTCGCGCGCGCCGCAGCGATCGGCTGGGTGCCGATCGCCACGCATCCGCTGCCGCCGCCGCCGATCCCGAAGGATCGCCGCAAGGCCGACGACGAGAAGCTGCTGATCAACGTGAGCGGTCGCCGCTTCGAGACATGGCGGAACACCCTCGAGAAGTATCCGGACACTCTTCTCGGCTCGAACGAGCGCGAGTTCTTCTACGACGAGGAGAGCAAGGAGTACTTCTTCGACCGTGATCCAGACATCTTTCGTCACATACTGAATTATTATCGGACCGGCAAGCTCCACTATCCGAAGCACGAGTGCCTGACGAGCTACGACGAGGAGCTCGCGTTCTTCGGCATCCTGCCGGACGTGATCGGCGACTGCTGCTACGAGGACTACCGGGACAGGAAGCGCGAGAACGCCGAGAGGCTGATGGACGACAAGCTCAGCGAGAACGGCGACCAGAATCTCCAACAGCTGCCGGACATCAGGCAGAAGATGTGGAGGGCCTTCCAGAATCCGCACATCTCGACGGCTGCGCTGGTCTTCTACTATGTGACCGGGTTCTTCATCGCCGTGAGCGTGCTGGCGAACGTGGTCGAGACCGTGCCGTGCGGTAATCGTCCGGGACGCGCCGGCACGCTTTCATGCGGCGAACGCTACAAGATCGTGTTCTTCTGTCTGGACACCGCGTGCGTGATGATATTCACCGCGGAGTACCTGCTCAGGCTGTTCGCGGCGCCGAGCCGCTGCAAGTTCGCGAGGTCCGTCATGTCCATCATCGACGTGGTCGCCATACTGCCGTACTACATCGGCCTCGGTATCACCGACAACGACGACGTATCCGGGGCGTTCGTCACGTTGCGCGTCTTCCGCGTGTTCCGGATCTTCAAGTTCTCCAGGCACTCGCAGGGTCTGCGGATCCTCGGCTACACGCTCAAGTCGTGCGCGTCCGAGCTCGGCTTCCTCGTATTCTCCCTGGCCATGGCCATCATCATATTCGCCACCGTCATGTTCTACGCGGAGAAGAACGTCGACGGGACGAACTTCACGTCGATACCCGCTGCTTTCTGGTACACCATCGTGACTATGACCACTTTGGGGTGAGTACTCTTTTCAGCTTTTCTCCCTATGCGTTTCCTGTGGAAATCCGATAACTGTCGATTCTTCTCTGATGCTTCGCCGAGCGGTCTTCGCGCTGGGCTACTGTTACTCTAGACGCATTAATTAATACGTTCTACGAACGTAACGCTGAGTAGAATTCGATCAGAGCCTAACGAGCATAGAACTAACCGCTGTGCGAAGTGAAACTCTACGATCTAAATCGACTTTTTAATTCGACAATCTTGATAGATGAAAGATAATTCTTGTGTCTTGAGAGGAATCATTTCTCTTATTTTGTAATTAGCAAGGTATCCATCAAACGAAAAGTTCATTGAGAACTTTTCGGTTAACGACTATTTTCATGTATTTCCACGCGAGCATCTGTCTTTCCCATCCACTCCATCATTACGCTCTCGCTCTGTATCCATTGAACTTCCTGCTCCACCTCGGCCCCGAGACTTATCGAGAACGCACGGATCGAATCGAGTCTCCGGGATAACACGTATTCTTGAGCGAGGCTCACGGAGCTTCCACGAAAGTAATTGGCTCCGTGTAAACCGCCCGAAGCTGCGACAAGCACCGGTCTCCAGTGATATTTTTAACAGAGGTCGTTGTCGACCTTTTTACCCCGAAGAAGGGCCTCGCCTTCAGCTTCCTCTAAATATCCGCGACAGAACCACCGACCCCGAAACCCCGCCGACAATTTCTTTCGTTCGCCCCCGCCCTTTCGTCATAAACCGCCCTTCCCCGCGACTTAACCCTTAACCACTGGGAACCGTCCATGAAACCGCTCGAAATTCTCGTTTGTCCTTTTCAACGGTTACCCGAACGTCTTGACGGTTTTATCGGGGAACTTGGCATGAAAACCTTCAACCCTCCGCACTCCGAGCAATTTTTTAATGTGACCTTTCAACTCCGATTCAGTTTTACTACGACCGACCAGCTACTCCAGCGTTGACAATGGCGCGAGTTGTGATTAACCTTAACTTATTAACTCCTTTCTCAACCCTGATCGATTGAAGAATATTTCGTGTAAATCCTCGTACTACCTGTACGTCATATGTAAAGTAATTATTATTCTATTGGCCTATTTCATTCTGAACTCTGAATACGGCTACTTAGTCATTAATAATTTATTGGGAAAGAGAAAAATTCTAAGCATATGCCTATATTTCCTTTTAAGTATAATAGTTGATTACAGAGGAATAATATTTACTTTGAATTCGAATGAACTAATACATATCTGTTGAATCGTGTTGAAAATCTTCATGAGTCTCACTCGTAGGGCAAGTTAAAGATTATCATTTAAAAACGCGTATTTTAATGTTCCATTGAAAACAGAGTAATCGACCTATCTTACAATGTTCAATGGAGGGCAACGGGTTAATTAACGACACAATTGCCATTGTCAATCACCTCCGATTCAGATTTGAATCAATTGAAGCTTGGAATCTAGAATTTACGATCGTCGTGGAGATTGAAGGGTTGAAAATACGGAAAGACTGTTCAGTGCCTTTACGGGCGGAATATTAGCATCTCCTTAATGTTCAGCGACTGAATGTATAAATATAAAAGAAATATAGAAGTATTAGCTCGGTAGCGAGGTTGCCCGTTGTGTAAATTTGAACGTCCATAGCCGTTAAGCCAGCCGATCCAGCGCTGAACGATCCTGGCGGACGACGTTCCTTTGTTTCTCTTCACCGAGACGAGACTTTCTTGCCCACCGTCGTCCACGAAATTCCTTCCACCCCGTGAACTGTATTCTTCTTCATTCTCTTTGAGCTTTCCTCCGAGGCACAAGCGTCCCGATGTCGTTCCGTTTCGTTTCGTTTCGTTTCGTTTCGTTTCGTCTCGACTGTAAGGAAACTTCGGTAAGTCGGGAATTCCGACTTTTTTCCAGCCCCGCGGTTTAGCGGGAACCTAGCTAAAAGTGTCGGACGATTTTCTTTCGCTGCGTTCGGTTGGGAGCATCCCTCGAAGGTTAATGCGGGATTTCTTGTTTATCTGTGTATCTTGGAAAACCGCGTCGAACGGAATGGAACAGCTAAGATTCGACGGATCTTGACCGTAGAATGACTCGGGCCATTTCTTCGACCATGTTTACGAAACATTCGAATGTTTCTGCTGTCCAGAATATTCGGAAGAGCTAACTTAAATATAATATCCTAGTCTCCTGCGTAGAATGTATGAGTAGTTAACCCTCTGTAAGTGTCGGACGTTAATATTTGGTCGTGTATGTTAGTATCTTGTCAACTGTGCTTCGAGTACTTGTAGTTTTTTCTTTGAACGATCAATTGTTTGCTTCCTCGTTTATTTCGTTGATAAAACTGATGTTGATCGATGAAATTTGATATTCCCTAATGAGTTTACTGTATCTCTACTATATTCAAATTACGCTTCTATCATTTGTTTTCTAGTGAACAATCGTCTATGTTCTATCAGTTGATAATATCTACAATATTCGATATTCCATAATAAATTCGTATTATACTCTGATCCCTTGCATTCTTCTAGCTAATTAACTCTCTATAGGCCCACGTAACTTTGAAGTCAGGTATCAGTATATTGGCATCTTGTTGATTTATTTCATTTTGCACTCAAAGTGGCGAATAAAATTAAGTAATCAGTTAACTGAAACTAATATACGCTTAGGCGTGAAAGTTTAACGTCGTAACTTGAAAGTTATAAAATATATTCATTGGATGAAATTATTGAAACTATTGAATACACTGTTAATTCGTATTCCTATATGGATATGTATTAATTTTGTACTGCATGGATTTTGTTACAATCATGAACAAAAATTCGGTCTATAGAGGGTTAACTCGATAAAGTATATCCGAATTTGCTAGATGACTAAATCTGTTTACATGAATTAGCTACGTGCTCAGCTACCTGTTCATGAATTAGTCGCTACAATTAGCTGCCTAAATTAGCTATCTAAATTAGCTACCTGTGCAGCTACTTGAATCATATATTCATCTGGCTACCCGAATTAGCTACCTGTTCAGCTACCTGAATTAGCTACCTGTTCACCTATCAGATCACCTGAATTCAAAAACAACACGAATTATATTAAATTCCTACACTTCAAAACTTACGTTCCAACGGAACGATCCAGACCCTAAATCTTTAAAATCTCGCAAACAACAATTATCAAAGCGAAACGTCCGCTGCCAAGAGAGCTGCCCCGGAAACGATACGTCCGGCGAAAGTCAGGCCAGCGGGCGACTGTATCGATAGAAGTTACAAGTCGAACTTGTATCTCTAATTGTCCCGACCCGGTCTATTCTCGGGCCACTTAGCTCCGAATTTAGCGCTGCTAGGGACTGCTGTACGCTGGTAGGGACGGCGCACAAAGCGCTGAAAGATTCAGCGTTCCTTGTATCCGCGCTGCTAAAACCGAAGCGTCCGAGACGCCGGAGACTCGGCCCGTCCCTGAATCATGCACGCCCGCCGAGCATGATCTTTCGGCGGTACCTCCAGCGCTGAAAAAGTTACGGAATCATCCGTTCGGAAAGTTTCCGGGCGCGGAGTTAGGAGGAGCCGCGGAACACTGGGAGAAATATTAATGTTCCCGCGGGATAGACGGCTCGGCGCGAGCTCCCGCGTCACCTTTTGCGAGCGGATCGAGGACCGTTCCGTTTCCGGTCCCGGAAGCGAACTTTCTATTTTTGATCCGGCGTCGAATACATCCACGTTCCCCGACACGTCGCTGATGAAGCTTTGAGACCTAGCCTATTCAGTTTTAGCTCTGCGGATTTCAATTTTCAATTTAAACTTCTACTCTGCAGTTTGTCCTTCATTTGGATTATTTTGGTCTGTGTTTGTTATGTGATTGTTGATTAACGTAGAATATCAGGTGTAAAGGAATCGTTGAAGGCTGTCGATATCAAGTTTGCGATTTTGGGTTTGTAATGGTGGTAGCTGCGAAACGATGAATTAATTGTGGCTAGAATGGACTGATTAGCTATGTAGCAGTGTAATTAGTGCTCTATTAGAATGATGTTCTTAGTGAGACTTGAAGAAACTAGGTGTCAAAAAGACTGTCATCAAAAGACTGTCTCCAAATTTTGCAACTTCAACCCTTTGCGAATGAAGATTCTTTAAAGCATAGGAAACCTTCAGCAAATACAGCTAAATTATACATCAGTTGCTTAGATAATAGAAGAAACAGGAACTATACACTGACCTCTTGCTGTTTAAGTAATTAAATCATTTGTTTGCGACTTAGTCTTCTTTGCGAAAGAAGATTCTTTAAAGTATAGGAAACCTTCAGCAAATCCAGCTAAATTATACATCAGTTGCTTAAATAATAGAAGAAACAGGAACTATACACTGATCTCTTGCTGTTTAAGTAATTAAATCATTTGTTTGCGACTTAGTCGTCGCAGCGTGGAAATTTCATCCAGCCGACACGAGGATATTTGTCCGCAAAGGGTTGATATTCATTACCGCGTCAGGTAGGCAGCAATTAGAAGCTAGCCCAGACCCTAGCGAAAGAACCGAAGCTAGGACCGTCCCGTTTCCGGTCCCGGAAGCGAGACCCAGGCCCTCTATTTCTGACCCCGGCCCGAAATCTGTGTCAATGGTATTTTCGTTTCGTTTTCGCGCGGACAGCTGACAGCCAGCGTGATCTCAGTCACGCAGCCGGTGGTCGTTGGTCCGTCTGGTGTGTTCACTGGCGACAGCCAACTCCGTGGGCTCCGTAGATCTTCCGCGTCACGGATCCGATCCCCAGTAATCCAATACGATATTTAGGATAGCGTAAAAAGGCACGGCGAGCACACGTGCCCTGTCTTTCGCCATTCTGACGTATTTTTAGGTATTTTGTCTGTGTGATGTAGTGTCACGGTGTTTGATCCAGTTTGGTTCAAGGATTGTTACATAGAAATCCACTCATTCAGAGGATTGATCGATAAAGTTGTTTGATAGATAAAAAGGACAATTCATGGCAGGTTGCACATGTCATAGTGTGTCTATACTTTTGCAATTCTAT